TATGTAACGTTGCGCATACAATTGGACGAACACGGGAAGTAAATAAGCACAAACGGAAAGGGTGCAGACTATCAACTGGCTTTATTCGTTTGGTCGCTGTAAATATATGCACATTTATCACACGTACCAAAAAATTTTGAAAGAAGTTGGAAAAGAAAAGGGGAGCAAACACACGGCAACAATACATCACACCAATGAAATAAGATGCGCAGAAAACTGCTTTCTGCGCTATATAGTGCAACAGACGTGTCACTTACACATTTGTCTCCCAATTCCTTAATATAAAAAGCTTCTAAAAGCTCACGCCCTACCCTCTCCTTGCTCCTGCCTAGAATTTTTACATTTCTGAAATCTGGCTCACAACCCAGACATGTGCTACAACGCGCGGGCAAGTTCGCCCCTTCTTCTTTTTTCTCTAACTGACGCAGCATGTTCCGCTAGGCGATCATTTATGCAACGCCCTGTGTGACCAACGTGCGAACATCCACACGGGAGAAGGATTCGGTACACCACTTCTGTAGCATACTTCACGAACGTTTCAGCATGCTTTTTTCGCGCCCGCTTCGCAGTTTGCCGTTCCCTCCAACCCTTGGGCAAAGGCCGGCTATCTTTGGCGCAGAAAAAAAAAAACACACGAACAACATGTCTGTCTGCTACTTTTTTCATGTTACGCGCAACTTTGTGCATATATGGCACGACTGTGACATTCTTTTCACGCACTCGCTCTGTGTTGCTGCTGAGATTTCCTTTCTCTATCTTATTGAGAAGTTTCTCAGCCACATTCGTGATGATCGCGTAAGGGGAAGCCTGCTGAAAGTAGCCTATCGATTTGCCTATAGAGAAGCTATCATGCATGGCATGCGGGCATGACTTGGTAAGGGCCGATTCCGGACACGAGCTTGCAATTGCCCTCTTAACTATCTTTGGATGCCCAGACTCAAAAGGCAGGAGCTCCTTCTGCACTCTTGGAGCATATCGTTAGCAGATGTGAGGCGTACCGAAATTCAAATTAATATCTAGAAACTGCAGTGATCCGTTAGTCTGGCTTTCGTGCGTGAACACTAAACCTTTGCCACATTGTCTAAAGCTTCTTAAAATTCTACTTACTGAATCTGCGCGGGACACGTTCATTTGCTTGGAGATGACGATTAAAAATCATCTACACAGAAGGCCTCTATTACACCTAGATCAGAAAGCTCGTGATTCATGGAGCAGTATACGACAGCTAAAAAAATACTACAAAGGACTGGAGCAACACATGAACCTACACATATGCCCTGCCGCTGAATGTAAAAATCACCGTTAAAGGAGAAAAATGTGGCTTGCAAATAAAATTCTAATAAAGGACATAAAACACTCAACCGTTACTCCGACGGTGTTATGAAAGCTTAGCTCGCCATTTTTTTTTTCAATGCACTCTCTGACCGCCACTAACAGTTGATCATGAGGTACTGAATAACACAAATCTTCTATATCCACAGAAAAAGCATAGCCTATATGAGCACTGGCCTTGAAAAAATTAACAATGTTCCCTGAGTTCTTTAGTGGCGAAGGGGTCTTCAACATGTAGAGCACTGAAATGTTTCTGCAGAAAACGGCTGATTCGGGACTGCCACGATCCCTTTTCACTCACGATCGTTCTGAACGGCACACTGTCTTTGTGGGTCCTTGGCACTGAATAAAACCGAGAGTGTTTTGGTTCTAAAGCTAGTTATTGAGCTAGCAAGTCTGGTCAAGCTCAAGATTTTTGCACATAGCCGCAGCTCAGGCTCTTGTACTCTAGGCTTATACGCGCACGAAGTTCTTGGCGATCGCCTGTCCCGCCTTCCTGTTGAGTTCCTTTAATACGACAAGACCCCCAGTCTTTACTTCCTGTGTTCGTCCAATTGTATGTACAACGTTACATACAACAGGTATACGGTGTATACAAATGACTTGCCGTCAGCACCCTTGACAACGCATGTTCCGGTTTCTTAAGCAAAAAAAAGTACGCTCCATGACGTGGTAGTTAGGGCCTGACCACACGTACCCGTTGCTGCTCGTCAGCGCACGGGGGTTTTCTGACGCAGCGCCACGCCCTCTCCCTATAGAAAGAGAGGGCGCGGGGCTACGCGAAGCTGCGCGTTCACTCTCTCCATAAGGAGAGGGCGCGGCACGCGTCAGAATTCCACGAGCTGCGACGAATGCTTGTGGTCAGGCCTTTGGCGCCGCGCGCTGTAGTTGTAGAGGTAACTGGTTCGACGCCCCGCGGCAGATCTTTTATTTCTCGTTTTTTCTTCGCAATCTATTGAATTATATTTTACGACGTCATATCCGTGACGGAAATACGTCATCAGAGCCGTGGTGAACATCGGCATAAAACGTTTTCGTGTTAAAAATCGGCGTTGTCCGCAAACACAAATAATAGATGCAACCGGATATATATATTACAAAAATGTTGGATTCGAGTGAGAGTCCAACCACGGTCTTCTGCGTGGCAAGCAGCAAGTCCTCCACATGGCGACAACAGGGCTTGAAACGGCTTCGTTAAAGAAGAAACGCTATAAAAGTGTCACACCGGGGTACGAGTCTCCGTAACGCATCTTATATGGCGAGGCAGAAGCGCAGAATTGCACCAGGCGTCGAAACATGTGAAATGTGCAAGGAGTGTTAAAGCTATGTCCATCCATTACAGACTGCACAGGTGCGCATGGCTCGTTGCGGACGCTTAGAGGGTATTTCGGCCAATTGCAAAAGGAAGAATAATGGCGTGTGGATATTCCGCAACTGTACTTGCAGTAGTCTTCTAGGGTAGTATGAAATGACCAATGTTACGCGCACAAGCGTTCTTTTTTTTTTTGCGGCACGTCTGAAGGCAATGCGCAAGCGTCCTCCAGGGTTTTTAGGGGCGATGGGGTCTACCTTTGTCCGTTGTCCGGCACAGCCGTGAAGATGAACAATAAGGGCGTTAGCACATGCAAGGTACCCGACGACGACGATGCCATCAGGACACGGGAGATGTCTATACTTCATAACGTTGTCGATGACGCTGAAGAATAAGCATACTCAAGACTACACAATCTCTTTCTGACATGGATGAAAACGATCGTGAAAGCAGTCTCGACCGCGAAAGGCAAAGGGACAACGCCGACACAAGCTGCTACTCCGGAGGCGATAGCACGGCAGGCGGTGGCTCAACGTCTGCGCAGACAGGGAGCTACCCCGGAGCTGAGCACTCAGGAAGCAGCGGCGAAACGGGAACGCCGCTACCCTGAAATAGAGGGCTCGGAAAGCGGCGGCTCAACGGCAAAAACGCGTAGTTCATGCTGTACACAAGCGTTATCCCTAATTTGAATTTGATCCACCACATCACCGACCATAAAGCAAGTACTGTTGAGAAGTAGCCAATATGAAATGCAAGATGGTCGTGTACTTGTTTCCTGGTGCGCGTTGAAGAGTTATAGATTGTCCCACTGTGTTCACCCCTTGTTTTTACGTGAGTGCCTATAGTTCCACCTTTGCAAACTGCCCACTACTTCGTCCTAACAAACATCCCACTACATCCCACTCCTTGCAACAACCCACCAATTCACTAACCATAAATCCGTTATAATGAAGGGGAAACGGAAGCGACGTATAGCTACCACTTATGAGTAATAAAATTTATTGTATAATTATGTACAGTGTTTGTCACGTATTTGGTGGTGTAGTGGGCGATATTCGCGGATGGTTGTCAGTTTAGCGATGAAACCCTCCAGCGCTTCGCCCCACTGATCAACATTCACTCCGTGTATATGCTGTGACTTTTTTTTAGAGGAGGGGTGACGGAAGGAATCATTGAGATTGCAGCTGACGACGAGGATTGAATGGGTATACGATAATCTATTCATTCGCGTCCCATTGAGCGCTCAGAATATTATAAGTAGAGTTTACCCTCGATATAATGAACGCTGATGTAGGAACTTATCAGTTATAGCAATCAAAATACGAACGTTGCTTGATTACCCACCAATTTAATCCCATTTATTCTTTTTTATAATACCGAAGACGCGAGAACCGGCGAGATTTCGGCTGTAACAGAAAATATTTGATTCAGGATTGGCTCTAACTCGCAAGTTAGCATAAAAAGCAAAATGAACGTAAACCAATTCATACCCATTTTTTAGTGGTTTGCGAAAGTAGCACCAATCGATATAATACATCGTAAGAAAAAAAGACAAAAAAAAAAGAAAACACACTGGTTCTGACTGGTTGCGCCATCCTTCTTCAATTATATGTCAGCGCAAGCTTGTTTTGTCAACCGCACTTATTTTGTAGTAAATTCACCTTCTCGTGTACCAGTTATATTTAGTTCGAAAATACCACAAAAAGAGAGGCAATGATTACCTCGTTTATAGTGAATATAAAGCCAAGAATAACGCCTTTTTTTTTTGTATCTGGGTATCTGGGCGAGAGTAAGATTGACAATTTGTTAGATCTTACTTTTATATCGGTTGTTGGAAAGAATAGCGCATATAACGAACTAGTTTATTATCCCTATGCTCATTTGTTAAGGTGAGGCTTCAATGTAACGGTTGGGAATAAGGACGTAATTTCTTCAGAGGGGTATTTGATACTCTCGCCCAAATCGAAGCATTGTTCATTTCTTTTTCTCGCGCCCCGGTGTAGTACCCAAAAGAGGGCAAGCTATTCCCCCTACTCCCCTCTACCCAACCACGCATTGTCTACCCCGAGGAGGTAGAATTTTAACCTTTTTGCCTTAATCTACATCGCGCGTTGTACGTTCACTTTCAGTTTCTTAATTCTCCGAGGTTTTTTTTTTTTTTTTTTTTCAGTGGATTCGTAGCCCTAAACGCAACGAGTTAGGGAATACACTGCACTTGCGCCTAGTCGCATGCCGCGCTTTTTAAAGAGCTCATCAAATGTTTTCGAAAATGAGTTTTCACCTTCCACCACGGCGCGACGCGCGCAGCTATTTCTCCACACAAGGAGCGGAATGTCCGCAAACGTCTGGCCACCAAGGCGTTGTAGCAGACGTGGCTCTTTTGATACTTTCGTCGTCCGCTGCAGCGTGGCCGACTTCAAAAAAGTTTTGCGTCTGCAGCTGCGTGATCGATCTCGGCATCGTCACCCTTTTCAAAGAGGAGCGCGATGAGGTGCCTCGCTTTGCTGATCGCTCTCGTTGTTTGCACGCAGCCAGCCTTGAGCGACGGAGATGCAGAGCTCAAAGTCGAAATCGTCAAGAGTTCGGACAGCTGCAGCCGCAAGAGCAAAAAGGGAGACATCCTGTCGATGCACTACACCGGCACCCTGGTCGACGGCAAGGAGTTTGACTCCAGGTGCGTGTCAGCCCATGTGCTCAGACGCCGCCAATTACGAATGTGGCTAAAGCGACGCCCGAAAGCGCGATGCGCTTGCTTGCTCATTTTGATCAGGGGAAATTGAATGGTGTTCGCGTTGTGACTCAAATTGAAGAGCATACTGCAAAGCCTTAGAGACTGGTAGTTCTAGTTTACTATTCTAACCAATGGAAGGTCATTTTATGTCGTCGTGGTTTTTGGTAAAATACGTTAATTTCCAAAGTGTGCGCGTTTTTTTTTTTTTTTCATTGCACCACTTTCGGTCGCCACCACGTTTGTGCCACGTAACTACGAGATGTAGTTGCCGATACTGCGTTTTTCGTTCGGCGACTCATTCGCAACAATCAGAAAGCAATAAATATTTGTATCGCGAAACAAAAGTGGCCAGTTTGTAGTGGACCTATTAACTCGCCGAAAAAAAAATTATCTGCAATTCAAAGAAGTTTTCAAGAAAGCTGCGTGCGCCGATAAAATTCGGAATGCTGAGCTAGGATTGCAGTCCTTAATCCTAAATTAAATTAAGTTCGTATATGCTGAAAAGAGGAATTTTCGGTACATGCCTGTTAGCACTATCCAACGCCGAAATTATACCCAGCCATATAATATACGACATTGATTGTCATGGTGATATTATGTATATGTATAAATAAGACAGAAGCATAGATACGATTCACACTGTAGATAGCGATCCGAAAAGGGGGATCTGCTTCGCCGGAGGTACTGCAGCACAGGTGGTGCCCACGCGTTTTCTATACAGCTGCGAAAACGCACCTGGCGGGGCCGCTAAGTGTTGACGGACAGCTCCACAGCGGATCACAAGTCGCGGTGCGCGAAAGTACTCTCTTTGTGCCTTTTTTTTTCTTTTTAAGACTCTCGGCTCTAGCCTCTTAGATGAACACAGCATCGTTCAAATCTGCCAAGCGCGAAACGTGACGTCAGTAGCCCTATGTACTTGCTGTCCCTGATCCATTTGTCTTGCGCATTGTGTGTCAGCAGGAAACATATCCTACAACTACGCGGACATTAAATTGGGTTACAATTCAGGAACACTTTGAAAATCATAGTTTTTTTTTGTGCCAGGAAATAATAATAATAATAATAATAATAATAATAATAATAATAATAATAATAAACTTCGTCGGTGAACGGTGTCGCGAATAGTTGAAGTAGTTCACACGCCCAGAATATAACACTCGTAGATGCTGTGTGCGCCATACGTTGTTCTAGAAGAAAATTAGCGCTAAATAATGTGTACCGTTTTACGATTTCGCTGCAACGTTGCAACACTACATCTACAAACCCAACGTTTGAAGTCAATGCAGATCAGATCTGCTGCGAGCACACAGAGAATTATCACTGCAAGCAACCAAGAGTGTACGAAGTCGACATACACAGAGTATCTTAACTATTGCACTACACGACGAATTGGTACAAACTAGCCCAATTCACACTCGTAATCAATTTGGTTCAATGTTGGTTACGTGACACGCGGAGTTTCCGGAACATCCGTATAGGCGCCGCCATATTGGATACGTTGAGCTTGAACTGCGACGAGCACGTAGAAGCCACGCGGAGCTGCTGGCGCCATCTTGCGCGAGACTTCCGCGCTTACTCATTCACTTGCTCCAGAAGCTTCAGGAATTTTTTTGGCGGGTTGAGGTTTGGGCTAACAGGTTCATGCTAATCCTGTCAAAATTTAGCGCTCTTTTTTTACCTGTCATAAGCGAATTTCGTTAGAAGCGAACAAAAGACAGGCCGTTGTGACAAGCACGCCGTCGCTTCGTTCTCATTCCGCGTCTTGCCCGTTTTCTTTCGCATTCGACCGATGGGGGCGGGGGGCTTCGGCGAGTCACTTAGGTGCAGCAATAATTTGCTCCTCCTCACGGAGAACCCTTCGCAACGTGCCTGTGTGTACCGCGTACTTCTCCACACTACACAGCTTTACGCCCCATCGGGGACCTGGTTTTCTATGTGTGAACACAGCAAAAATCGTGTGCAGTACGTGTTCTGCTGAGCATACGACGTGACAGTGCTGCCGTCGCATTTGGCACTGGTAAAATTTTGAAGAACGTACGCTGAGCTAAATTTACTCAGGCGCGACAACGCACACAGGGCCAAAAATTCGCTTTTACTCTGCGAAGATGATATATATCAAAGCGGCAAGCATACCCGCCATCGCAGCTGCCATTCGCAGGTATCATGTGTCGACGTGCCCGCTGTTATATCGATCAACAGGAGGAAAGGGGGTGCGTGAGCTGCAATGAAACTTAGGGGAACCTTCGCATGCCTGTCTACACAAGCGCCTAATCTGGCACGTCCATTGTACCGCAGCCGACAGCGCGGCGAGCCGTTCCGCTTCCAGATCGGCCTGGGCCAGGTGATCAAGGGCTGGGACCAGGGCCTGCTCGACATGTGCGTGGGCGACAAGCGAAAGCTGACCGTGCCTCCGTCGCTGGGCTACGGGGAGGCCGGCGCCGGAGACCGTATCCCGCCCGGCGCCACGCTCGTCTTCGAGACCGAGCTCACGAAGATCGAGGACGGCCCGCCGCCGGTCAACGTCTTCAAGCAGATCGACAGCGACCAGGACGAACAGCTGACGCGCGAAGAGGCAAGTGACTTCGCGAAATTCGCTGCAGGTATCGTTGGGTTTACGGCCTTGAATGCCGGATCTCGTGGATTCGACACGGGAAAAGCGCCACAAACTCTCATTAGTTGCATGTTGGACTTGTGCTCAGCACCAGTGTCATATGGCAGCAGAAGTTTCATCAAACGGACCTACCCGTCATTGTAGTAAGTGCAATATTATGACCATGCTGGTTTTAACGATAATGGCGGCGAAGGACCATTGATGCCTCCCCAGAGCAATTCTAACTTTTGACACCAGAAAGCCTGGGTCCATAAGAGGCCGTTGTGGGAAGTACGTCATCGGTTCATGTTAATCTTTGCATTCCGCTGCGAAGCTTATTTCTTTCAAACTTGACCAATGAGGCGAGAGGGGGAGGGAGGGGGCGCTTGTTACGTAAAAGTTATTCTATTTCGAGCGCAAAGAACGTGCAAATGCTGAACAGCGCGTCCAGCGCCGTGTGCGACATCGACATGCGTCTCCAACTGCCTCCTCGTCGCTGCTTGGTCTGGCGTAATTAAGAGTCATTGCTCCGGTTCCATATTCCTCAGTGTTTTCATCGTCGCTTGCGGACGCTGATGCCGTCGGCGATGGTGGTGACGAAGCCATGCCCACACGTGCGCGCCGAGCAGACGAAATGTCAGCCGAAACTCTCGTCACGTGTGGCCACGTGATCACACGGGGCGTGACCACAGGAAGCGACCACTTGGTAGCGCTGAAAAAGTGGCGGGCTTTGCGTCCGTTTTGAATTGGGCTCCATCCTGGTGATACTAACCAATATTGCATACCACTCGTCGGTTTTTGCAGCTTTCTCACGAGCCGCAAGAAACCGTGCCACTGACATTTTTAAGTGTTGGAAAAAGAGAAAACAAGTAGTCGAGTAGCCGTGGTGTAGTTGGAGAGATACCGATGGCCGGGCAGGGCGAGCCTGGAGAGGTGTTATCGGTCAAACACTTTCAGGGATACTGTGTATCAGCTTCTCGGAACAGGTCAGCGTCTGCTGCACCAGCATTTCCGACACTCTTGACCACGTGGTTACACGCCTACGACGTTTAAACCTATAGTGAACTAATTACACCCCAACTGAAACTATGGAGGAAAAAAGAAATAGGAAAGGGCGTCACGTGATTCCGCTAGCGTGGTATAGCCTGTGCAAGCCCACCTCCTCTGCCGCAGCCGCTCCCCGCCAGTGCGCGCTGCCTCCTGGGCAGGATTAAGCCCTCGCAGCAGATGCAACCAAAGCAAGGCGATACAATAGTAGTGCTATCCTGTCAAGTAATCAGATTACAGCCTATTAGTATTTTTCTTTATGTCTAGGCTAGGCTATGGTGGCTGAAAGCTACAATGACTAGGCTTCAAGATTGTCATTGAGATGCTTTCTTCCAGCTTTTTTTTTTTTACTTCGTGATAGCAACACCTATTAATACCAAAGGCTATGTCCGCGTATCACTGTCATCATACAGGAATACGAGAGACAGACTATTGTGGCCACTTAAATTTCGCCGCATTGTAAAATTTTTTAATGGCGGCATTTTAATCCAATCAAAGGAGTCCCAGCAGGCTTCTGTCCCAATCATATTTGAATAAAGGCGGAATTCGATAATCTCGAGAACAGCCCCCCCCCCAGACATACGCTCGCCATGATTTCATATCCTGAGGGAAAAGGGAGGAGGGGACACCATAAGGAAAAGAAGGGGCATGTGACATGTGCTAACCCAGATGAACACTTCGCTGCAGAAGAGTTGATAGGTGGGCTAGCCTTGCATGAATTCCTTATGACAACTTGGCTGCGCAAACAAATGGGACACTAAATCAGGAAGAGGCAAAAAAGCCAGTTTTTTTTTTCTGCACTTGTTTGTGCCCTGCTCTTCGTGTCCCGTTTGTCTGCGCTGCCAAGGTCATAGTGATCATCAACCATTCCTTCGAGGAAAGGGAAAGAAATTGGTAGAGAAAGATAAATGTACATTTATACATGGCCACACTAGACCACTAGTGGGCAGAGCGAGCGTTCACACATCTGATGCCACCTTTGCCAGCCACTGCTCATAAGCCAGGACATGTGTTGTATTGCCCTGCAGATCAGCAAATACCTGAAGGAGCAGCTCCCAGCCGCACAGGCTGCTGGACTCAAGGACCTGCCAGACACGGACAAAATGGTCGAGGAGATCTTCCAGCACGAGGACAAGGATCGCGACGGTGTCATCTCCAGGGAGGAGTTCAGCGGACCCAAGCACGACGAGCTCTAATTGTGTCTTCCTTGAAACTATCCATTTTTGATTGAGTGCAAACACGGGACGCAACATCAGCATGCAGCAACCATATCTGGGGTGCCCATTTCTCACACTGCATGTGCACTTCAGACTGGCCATTCAATGCCAAAGTCTATTTCACACTTCACTAGTGCCTCAATCACCACTGTTTGTGCCAACCGAAAAATTTGTCTGAAAAGGAAAGATCAACAACGAATCACGTGGCAGCTATAGCTGCATCCATTGCTCAGTTTTGTACTAACGCAAAAGAACACCTCTTCCCATTATTTGAAAATTTTCTTACCTTTCGACCACACGAGAGTTACAAAAAAAAAAAGGAGACTAACTAGCCCAGGCATAAGTCAAAAGTGCAGAGGCGAGCGGCAATGCTAGTGGTGGCACTGTTCAACAATGTTTAGAGACAGCATGCATTGCTTTCTCAGCAATAATTCTTTAATGTGTTGCTAATCATCCATTTAATGATACAAATGTGTCATCACTATTGGATGCACATTCTGGTGTACTATCGAAACCTCTCCTATGTAAATTATGGGTATTTCTCTATATGATCCAAAGCTATACACTTTCGTGAAATTTTAAACCTCTCCCCCTTCAGGCGTGTGCAGCTTAAACACGTTGAAAATCTTGCTTGGTGCTATTTCGCGCACTGTAGAAACATTGTTTTAAAGTATTTACATAACCTATTTACCTGTTTACCTTTTTATGAGCAAATTTTATTGAACACCTACTACTGTGGCTATTTAAAATATTGAACAAATTGCAACGCTGACCTTCTGTCGAGAATCGAGTATTCGGTGATCGAGTATACGTCCTTTACATAATTTTTTTCTAGCACGTATTTATTGCCGTTTACAACACTCGCTGTTTCGTACGTGTACCGCATGACTGCATGTGCCACAATTGTGTTAAAACTTTTCAAAAAGGGTCTTCCTGTTTTTGTCAATAAACTATGCCGAACAAATGTGGCCTAAAAGTGTGAATTATTAGCATGGCTGTAATAGAGCAATAACATCAAAACCTACTGGCAGTTACATTACACTCATTGCAAAAGCATTTGTGGGCCTCGTAGTTGCTCCAGCAAAAAGTATGATTGTGCGCACGGAATCGGTACTAGATGTCAAGTTTTTAAGACTGGCTGCAAAAATGAAATACATAGCAGGTCGCATTCTATTTGTCATGCTCGCTGACGGTCCACAGTTGTGTTCTTAATTGACCAGTGGCTTTTTAAACTTCCAGAGTTTACTGGATGGATATGCAAAATCAATGATTACTATTTGTGCATTCATTTATGCGTGCAGAGCTTCAACGCCGATCATACAGGAGATATATAACTTTTTGAATAAGGACCAAGTGTGAAAAGGTCCTAAACTTTTCGCAAAACAACCACCGAACATATTTAGGTTAGATGTGTTGCATGCTTACGAAAAAACCAGAGTGAATTCGGATAGTACACACGGTGCAGTACCGTTGTAAAACAGTGAATTATTCCACAAGACACCACTGGACAGATTTAAATGTGCTGCACTTGAAAAAAATAAATCCCTTGAACTCTACTTAGCAGTATCATTTAAAGAATTGTGAAAGTGTGATTTTCAACAGTCAAGTTAGACTTGTAAACTTCATAGTTGCGCTTTAAGAAAACTAACATTCTTAGGAAGGTTTTAACTTCCTCTGTTTAAAAGCAACTTGCAGTGGTTTTCAAAGTGGTTTCTTGGTTCCTGTGTTAAATTTAGATGGTAACTCCTGGGCTAAGCCAGAGCAGTCCTTTTCACAAACAGTGCGAAAAACAGATAAGGAAAGGACGAAATGAACGCCGCTAGCACTATCTTCATTCTTGATGTTGGCATCGTTTTTGTAAATCAACATGACCAATGTTTTGTTATCCTAGCCACCACTTGATACAGAATAAAACTAATGCCTTCTTATAACGGCTCATGCACTTGTTAACCGATCTGTACAGCAGAGCTGTTACGGTTGAGGTCTGCCATATGTCCTAGATTGAAAATGACCATCATCATCATATGGCACGTGCGCAATCGCCGTACAAGCACTCAGCACGGATGGCGAACAAGTGAAGTGATGGTTCCAGTCTTGCGCCTCTTAGTGCGAACAGTGAGCTTTTTTTTTATGCACATTTGGTACCAGTACTGAAACCAGTCAGTGTGCTCTCAAGATGACATTACTAAATGTGATCCGATTTTGAACACTGCTCTTTGACCAAATGGGTATGAAAACACCACCCAGATGCATCAATCAGCATAGTCAAGGAAGCGCGCCAGGTTGGCAAAACCTCGAGCAACTCTATAATTTCTCACAGCAAGAAGGCTCTTGGTGACTGGACACCAGTAAAAGTAAAAAATAAAAAAATGCATTTGGCAAAACCAGCATGTCCATGGCACCTACTCCTTGAATTCCAAGTTGAGGCAATTTACCACAAAGCTGTACGTATCTGTTAGTTCATCAATCTGGAAAAGAAAGGAAAACGAAAACGAATTAACAGTTATGCATAATCCAGTTGGAAATGCCTTGCCTGAGTAAATTAGTACACCTGCGTGTCTGCATGTGGGAAAAAAAAAAAGATCAAGTGCTGAGTTCTTTTTCTCACGTCCCGAATTCCCCATGTGATAGTGATGCAAGTTCGTGGTGGGTGACAAGGACGTATGCTTAGGCTCAGTAAAAGTGAATTTGCAATGGTAGGAAAGAAGTAGCATTTCTATACGCAGATTGTGGAATGTTGCCAGCGGCACAGCGCAACCAAGTGCTTCACAGTGCACCCCAATATTAATGGCTTGTTTCTCGACAAGGTCACCATGCTGAGACAACCAATACTGCACATTTTCAGCGCTAACTGATGACAACGTAGACATGATAAAATTTTGTTTCTTTAAAGTTTCGACTGCTCCTAGATGTGTTTTTAAATTATTACCATTTTTGTTATTTACAACATCACTGCCGCAATCTTACAGAAGTCGAAACGTGCAATGAAAACCCATTGAATTTTCTAAAATTGCGTCATATCTCTTAACGGCATCACACCTATTTGCTTGGCATTGGGAAGCAGCTATGACACGCACAGATGGCAGGTTAAAGAGATGTATAAAAATAACACTTGGTGTCATATGCCACAATAATGAAAGTCGGCATTACAGGGTTAGTCATGCTACTTTCCAAGTCATCCTAAGCAACTTCATATATTTCATTGCTTACCACTTTGGAAATGGGCTTTCCATGCCCATGGCCAGCTTTGGTGTCAATGTGGATCAACAGAGGGTTTGTCTGCACAGAAAAGGCATAACAGATGTACGTCAGAGATTTATTACAACTCTATATGCAAAAGCATATCTTAGCATACAAATTCATGATTTTTGAACCATGAAGGAGGAAGACATGGTGTCATGGCTCTGCATATTCACTCGTAAGCTACTATGTACCAATCAGCACAGGTTAATGTCATTGGCTAATGTTAGCTATTTGCTGTTACAATAGCATAGCAATATTGTCTTTCTTCCATCTCAATACAATGCTCTTGCATATACTGACAGTAAAAACACAAATAAAATCTTGATAATGCCACAACACTTTTCCGACTATGTCTACTAACATAAAACAGGAGATCGCAAGATTGGATTACTTGCACCAAAATTGCAAGTGATGTCATGAAGTTTCCGCGACCAAATGGCGGAAACGAGCCGCCTCAGCACCACTACTTAGATTGAAACCTTGTGAGTATTCAAAAAGGGGCCATTGCTTTGTGCTGCCGTTTCCCCAATTCATGTAAGCTCTACCCTCTACCTTCGATAAGTGTGGCATAGTCGATAAAAATGCCGTAACCGACCCTCTCTAAGAACACCGAGTGCTCCTGGAGTCAGTGCACTACCAATGAGTTTTGGTGAGTGAACGCTATTGTAAATGTGCCTTCCGTACTGAACTGAACTACATCGCTTGTAAAACGAGCTTAGAATCCAAACGCCTCTTAACAGATTGTCTATAAAGACCTCCAAAAATAACAAATTAACTTTCGTAAGGCACACCGTATTTTCGAGCACGTTATCATCAAAGAATAAAAATTGCACTTTACAATCAAGCAAATGCAGTAGAGAGTGTGACAGTAAGTGTCATGGCATGCCTGTACCTGTTTGTTAGAGTTCCCGTGAATGTGTTGCAGCTGGGCAATGAACTTGAGCGAGTGGCATGGAACAACGCGGTCGTCGTGGTCGGCCGTCAGCAGCAGTATGCACGGGTACTGCACCTCGTCACCCATTGCGGCTGGGATGTTATGCAGAGGCGAGTACCTGACACCAGAATGAGAAAAGTCACAGATTGGTTTCTTAGGCACTATTCCATTTTAAGGACAAACAGTACAGCACTTTATCGCAGCCTTGCCAGTTCCAAAAGCATAGTACGTAGGAAAGCAGATGCGCTACTCACAAGTAACTAAGCACGAGAAAATCACGTGAAAGCATTTGGTGCGTGAAGAAAAAAGATTGAGCTCACTCTAGTTGGCGGAAGTGGACCTTTGAAAACTTAATGGTTAAAAAGCAGCAGCCAAGCATCATTACCGAGCGCACTCTACGTGCTTGAACCATGAGACTGCGAATGAGAGCTTGTGCCTGCTATGGCTTCCATAAAAATGACGTTTCCGACTCTGTCCAACAAAAAAGTTTATTCTTCTTCCCCATCCATTCCAAGTGCGGATGCAACACAACCTTTGCCATGCGACGCTTTTGTGTCCCCGAAAGCAGTGAGTGAAAATCGCTGCTAACCTTCAATGGCATTGCACTAGCGCGCATACAACATGGTCTTTCAGAGCTTGCAGCATGCTACCATTGAAATCCAAACAACCCAGCAAGCGTATGTACTTTTGTTTTGTTTTTTAAATCCTACTAGAAAAACGTAAGACATTGGAACAGAAGTTTGAGTGAGTTGCTGGGATTGATACTTGCCAATGCGGGCACTTTTCTATGTTTGGACAATAGACAAAAACAGTAGATGGGAAAGGCTCCTCCTTTTGTCTATCATCCACACATTGTGAAGTGCCCAGATTGGCAAGCATGAACATAAAGTCAGCTACATTACAGAAGCAAAGCCCATGCATGACAAATATGCTGCGCTCCTAGAATGATACTCAAGTGACATTGAAATGCTGCAACTAAAAGAGGACGAGTTGATAATCTTAGAGTTGACATCATAATTCTACACAAAAGCAATCTTTGAACAATTGAGAGTAACTTCACAGAAAGTACTTTGCAGAAATGTCATAAAACGATTCAATGTGCTCACACCATTCCACATGTCAAGCCAGCACTGTTCAGATTTTGTTCGCTGGTACTTTTACTTAGGTACGAAAGCATAAGAAGTTTCAAGCTACACTCATATGAAGCATTAATCAATGCCCTTACGTGAGAATTTCAGGGGGCCTTGTAAACTTTTCTTGTAGCCAACTGACTTTAAAGTATTTTACTGACCTGTGCAGGTAATTGAACATTTTTTCTTCATCTGAGCTGCCATAGTCAGATGTCCACGCATAGCCAATGGTAAACTTGTGAAAACGTAGCATGTCCAGCACTCTGCAAGAAAAAACGAGAGAAGAAAGGGTGTCCTGCCAACTAGCAACTGTAAGTGAGGTATTAATGGAAGTACAGGTCCGTCCACTGTTGGAGGGATCGCGCAAGCATGTGGCTCTTCCTCCATGCAGCGCCATGTATAGCGAGCAGCGAAAAGCCAAGTGCACGCGCAGAATGATGCCGAGATGGCATTCTGCACATTGTCTGCTACAGAAATGCCCATTTGCATAAACATGGCCACAATGACACGGCCCTGCCGAGCACTCGCAGCTTAAAAGAGTGCAAAATGCTCGAAGTGAATTCCTATTTATGAAAGCTGCACTAGAGTATAATGTTTGCTCGTGCTGAGGCCTGATGTAGCTGGTTCATGGTGGCAACAAAGGCAGAAACAGCGTAA